AAAAAAAAAAAAAAAAAAAAAAAAAAAAAAAAACAAAACGTTAACATGAGCATTCACAGTGAAAAGTTTTTTTTCAAAATTTGGTGACAACCGTGGGAAACATCACAAAAAGCATACTTGAAAAAAATAACAGGAAAAAATAAATTTTTCTAAATTTTCCTACCAACTTCACGAAAATATAACCTCAATTTCAAGCGAAAAAAAATCATCTCACTGCTCAAACTTATTGTTTTTGAACGAAACTTTTCCACTGCCGTTTCATATATTTCTGGTCTTCTTCCTTGTCGTGCTCCACCTTCTCCCTCTTCAACAGCAACCGAAATCTTATTTCTGGCCTCGTTCAACACCGCCAATGTGCCCCATTTTAATGACGGTTGTTCTCCCCGCAAAAGTCCCCAGAGCTGCATTCCGCACCGTAACTACTCATCAATAAAAACAATTTAAAAGACTGGGAACAGTTTCAGACATCAGACTGTTCATCTCGGCAATAAGCGTATTGTACTAGGTTCACCCAAAAGACCGTATTTTATTATTCTGCTTGAGCAGAAATCAAAACAGAACATTTTTCCTCACAAAACACCAGACTTTCCTTCCCGACAACTATTGTCGTTTTTTTCTCGCTTTTATTGTTTTTCTTAGTTCTTTCGACCCTCATATGTCCGTCCACCAAACTGGTCCGCTTCCTTTATTTGAAAATGAAAAACTTAAATACCATCAAATTGTTATCCCAGAGAAAATAAATATGTTACAAGTAAATTAAAAGCCGAAGACTACGGAGACCCTGGAAACTTACATAGCTAAAGTTTAACGACAAAGGTTACAAAATGTTCCAAAAATTTAAAAAATTTTGTGGCCTAAACTGAGCCTAATTCTAGTTCCTCGCAATCGTATTAAAAACCAAAAAAATCCTTTTGCCAAAATTCAGAGAAAAAGTTGTTATAAAGAATTAATAAATTAACCAATGCTGCAGAAAACCGTTAAAACAAACATAGGTAATAACAATTTCACATAATTTTTGCGGTTCAGTACCTTCGCTGTCATCGGTACTCTTTTGTTAGCGGCTAGCAAACAAATAACCCGCAGAACATCAGTCAGCTACAAGTGGACAATTTTGGTAAACAAATAGACTACCGCAACCAGCCAAAGTTTGAAAAAAACCGACAAGTAGACAATGTAACGATGACGAAGACAGCTAATCAGGAGTACCAGATGCATTTGTTGGATATTAGTCAGTGCCGTTGCTGCTGGATGAACACGGATAAAGAATGAGAAAGATATCGTCATTTAGGTATGTCAGTCAAGTAAAAAAAATTGAGAACATAAAGGAACTGCTGAAATAAATGTGTAAGGCGGCAAGAACGAACAGTAATAGCAGCCCGCAAAACGGAACTAATTTCCGCCTAAACACTTCTGGACGACATTCACTGCATTTCCTGGTAAACGACCCGTTTCCTCATTCCTTTAAAATGTCCGTTTTTCCCATCCTTAGACGATTTGTTGCACTTTATCTGCCACTGTCAACTGAAACACAGTGGAATCAAAAACCAAGTAAACACGAGTTAAGTTGACCATTTAGAGAATAAAAATGCAGCGAACACACAGTTGACAAATTTTTGCAACAAATGATTTTTCAGTTGTTCAGACAGTTAACGTTTTACACATCAATATTAACATGGCAGTTCTCATGGTCAATCGCTTACAACAATGCCCATAAGAAAACTGAAAATAACAACAACAGTATAAGCAAACAGGCGAGAAAAAAAGGAATTAGCAAGTTCATCTGACTTTGTTGTTGCAGAGAAGAAATCAACAACAAAAACTTCCGGATTACATCACAGCATGAATTTCTAGACGACCACTGAAGGACATGTTATATATCAGAAAAATGGTACAACCATTGTCCTGCTGTGTCAGTGAAGTTTCTGAAGTGGTTAAGAAAAAAGTGGTGAATTTGTTCCAATTCATGAAAAGTCATTTTTTTTCCCATCCTTTTTTTTCTTCTTGCTCATTAAAGACAGAACATAATGGCCATTTAGCTCGAAATGCACCATTGAAATTGTTGAGACTCTTGACACAATTGTCCGAACGTCTAATATACGTTAATAACGATCATTCGCCAATAATTCACAAAATTCGCTTTTTGGTAAGTCACTTCAAAAACTTCATTCTTGGTTTTCCATTAATGCTACCCTTGCACAGCGGTTAACTTCGTCTTAAATCCAAAGATAACCTCGTATTTGCTACACAATCGTCCTTGTACCCTCTTCCCACTTAGCACTTTCAGCAATAACAGTCTACTGCCCTGATAATCTCTATGGGTGAAACCTAGAACTTCTTCACCTTAGCCTCTCATTCCCCTTTCTCTTCCTTCCTTCTCTCAACCCCCTAATACCTCTTTCCGTCATTAATCAGCAGAAATGCACAACAAGTGAATAAATAAGTTGGAGTTCTCAGAGTTTCTTGGTAAAACAGAAGCAGCGCGCTGTCAGACAGT